GAAGAGTTCCAAAGAAGAATGGATAATGCTGTTGAAGGGCTTGAAGGTGTAAAAGCTATTCATGATGATGTGCTCATATTTGGTGTTGGTCTGACAGATACTGAAGCAGAGAGAGATCATGACAAGAAACTGGTTGCATTCCTGGATCGTTGTAGAGAAAAGGGTATCAAACTGAACAAATCAAAGCTAAAACTGAAACAACCTGAAGTCCCTTACCTTGGACATATTCTTACAAGAGATGGATTGAAAGTAGATCCCATGAAAGTTGAAGCGATTGCACAGATGCCTACTCCTACAGACAAACAAGGTGTACAGAGACTTCTTGGAATGGTCAATTATGTCCAAAAGTTTGCACCAAAACTATCTGAAGTAACTGCACCTTTGAGATCCTTGTTACAGGACAACGTTGAGTTTCGCTGGGATGAACATGTGCAAGGAAAGTCTCTGGAGAGGATCAAGCATATTCTATCCGAACCGCCACTCTTGAAGTACTTTGATGATACAGCTGAGACTGTAATTCAATGTGAAGTTGAGTCGGACTACAAACCGTTAAGAGTCAATTATGAACAAGAGTTTGCACAGTGCACCCAAATGTCTCCAGAGAATGATGCTCAGGCTTCAAAAGTTTGACTTGCTTATTGTCCACAAGAAAGGTTCTCAAATGTATCTTACAGACACATTTAGTCAAGCACACTTGCCTTGCACAAGGACCACAAGAAGTGTTGAAATGGATGCCATCTTTGAAATGGATGTGAGATCAGCAACAGCAATTGAAACAGAGTCTATTGACATGATACAATATGTTTCTGTCTCGGACATGAGAGACTGCATTCAGCAAGATTCAACATGAGTCACAGTCTGACAATGAAATGAGAACCCTGAAAAAGATTATTACTCAAGGCGGCCTGAAGAGAAAGATGACTTGCCACATGCTGCTAGAGATTATTTCACTTTCCGTGAAGAACTATCAGTTCAGAACGATGTGATCTTTAAAGGGAAAGGGTGGTCATTCCCAGAAGTATGCGGGCTGAAATCACAGAACAAATACACTCCAGCCAAATTGGAATTCAAGGATCTATTCGAAGAGCACGTGAACTTGTGTATTGGCCAAACATGACAAGAGATTTAACTGATCATATAGAAAATATGTGAAATCTGCAATAGTGTTCAACAAGATCAGGGGAGAGAACCACTTCTAAGCTATGATTTACCGTCCCGAGCATGGGATAAGATTGCAAGTGATCTCTTCGAGTTTAATGAGCATGATTATCTTATTACTGTGGACTACTTCTCCGACTATTTCGAGGTAGACCGTTTGAGTGGTAAGAACGCAACAGAGGTTATTGAGAAACCCAAGGCTCATTGTGCAAGACATGGCATACCAAGCCAAATAATTACAGATAATGGCCCCCCTTTTAACTCGGATGCATTCGCCAGATTTGCCTCCAGTTTTGGATTTCAGCATGAAACCTCTTCTCCTAGATCCCTAGATACCCTCAATGAAATGGCGAGGTTGAGAGTGCGATAAAGACTGTTAAGAGACTCATGAAAAAATCAAAACTTGCTCAATCAGACCCATACCTTGCATTGCTGGACTGGAGACATGTACCAACAGAAGGCATCGGTACATCACCAGTACAAAGAATATTCAACAGGAGGACGAAAACTCGCCTACCAACAGCTGAGAGTTTGCTCAGACCGAGTACAGCTGATGACATCACTGACAAGCTCGCTGCCAGACAGACAAAACAGGCCAAGTACTACAATAGGTCAGCTCATTCATTGCCCTTGCTGAGAGAAGGTGATGTCGTACGGATCAAACCTTATAACAGAAACCTACAGTGGCAAAAGTTAGTAGTGAATGAACAGGTTGGTGAAAGATCTTACCAAGTGAAAATGCCTGATGGAAGAATTTTGAGGAGAAACAGAAAACACTTGAGAGAGTCGAGAGAACCTGCACCTGAGCCAGCCGAAGATGAGTCCACCAGTTGACCTTTACCCGAGACACACTGAACCACAGGTGGCAGATCATTCAGCAAAAGTTGCCCCAGAACAGGGAGAGACGAGGCGTAGCTCAGGTACGACGCTGTCGAGTGGAGGTGAAGACCGACCAGTAGTCGATGTTAGAGGACAGAGTGCTGCAAGAACCTCAAGTGGAAGACAAGTTACAGTTCCATCAAGATTCAAAGACTTTGTTCAGTTTTAAAAGTTGAAACTTAAGTTGTGTATTCTTCATATTTCCCGGAAGACTCTAAGTGGTAATATTTCAGTTACCCAAAGCTGAAAAGCTGTTCAGTTGTGTTGAGGCAGTCTGTCTTTTCAGAGACTTTTAAGTTAATGTTGTACAACTGCCTTAATGCCTTTTTTCAAATGTTTACTGTAAAGAGCATATCTTTAAGGGGAAGTATGTGACATTACTGATAAACAATTAACAATAAATTCTCCCCTAAATGACAAGTGACGCATAACTCAAATGTAACCCAATTTTCAGAAGATTAAAGATCCATGCTCAAGTTATCTTGTTCTTATTCAACAAAGATTGCAACGTCACAGTTAAGCATAGGGGCAGGTCGTGAAGTCAACATTGGAAATTGCAACAATATTCGGAAGCAAAAAGATATAAATATGTTTGATTTTACGTGCGCTCATTTGGTGAGGGATGCTAAAGGCAGGCCATAACATGCGTTAATAAACAAGTACAACTGTGTTAATGTTATTAACTGCTGATGTGGATGATTTGTTACAATGCGCAATATTTTCAAAGACATTCACATTTGATATTGGTTAAACGAAATGTGCTTTAATAAATGTTCTGATTTTGACAATGACTTTTTTTCTTCGGAGTTTTGTTGTCTGCATTGTGGGTTGAACCTCATTGTTACCACAGTCTCAAAGCTTTTCAAACTCTCGATTTTGTCCATTCATAACCACGTGTTGCGACATGTGGCGCTATACTTGAACTGCTTGCTCCTATGGGCTGTTTGCGCCAGTGCTCAGTTGAGTAGTGTGACCCTGCATAGACCGATGCTAGTCAAATAAGTCAATGATATTAGGTTTCTGCTTCGTCAAATTGATAACCACGCGCTTTAAGGAAAGATTTCGTGTAAGTTTTCAATTCAATACAGACGTTATACAGTCATTCTCAACGAAACTGCACAATTCAGAGAGGACAGTGCAAACACACACACACACACACACACACACACACACACACACACACACACACACACACGCACACACGCACACACACACACCAAATCACGTCAGTCCAAGAAAGATATTTTCCAAACTACAACATGAGAATGAACAGTTTATACTTTTTCAGCACTCAGTGAACAGTATTAAACTTGCAGCACTTGTTTGAAGTAGGGTACCAAGGAACACCCAAGTAAGTTACGTTCATGGGTAACTAGTAGTATCAACATAAACCACAAGAAAATGAACTCTTTTGTTCTTGTTTTGATTCCAACTTCGACTAAGTATAAAATTAATTCATCTGAAAATCAAATAGAATGTGTACTCAGTAAAGCATGCATAACACTGTTGACGCCACATGATACCTATTCAAAATGCAGAATTGACGGAACCACGCATACCACATTTATAGTGTATGAGAGATTAAAATCAGAAACTTGAAAATAAAATGTTCCTTTCAAGAAACGCCATGGAATCACACCAAATGGGAATGAATATATTTTGGCTTTAACTGTTAAACACCTTTACCATATTACAGTTCTACAGCGTGACGTTTATTACGTTGTAACTTACGTTAAATCCAAAGACTGAATTTTTATTAAACGCCAAAGATGACAAAAACAGTAAAAATCTTTGCACCAGATATGTAAGGAAAAGAAAAGTTAAACTTATTCTGGAAACATGGCCTAGGCAGTCATGCAACATTGAGATATCTACAAGCAACAATCACACAATGAAACACTGGGATAAAACATTACATTTTGTTTACTTTTGGAGTCATACCTATTTAGAGTAAGTTAAAGAACAATCTGTACAGTTGACAAAACGTACACTTCAATTTCATCAACATATTTAATCGTTTTATCATCTTAATTAATGATTCCGTAAGAAATATTCGTATGAAATTTACGTAACACCTTTAGTGATTTATGTTAGGGTGAAAAAGTGGCATGATCGACAATGGCATCCATAGAATAAGCATTGCTCTGCTCGCATGCAGACATTCAAACGGGTCCTAACACGTGAATGTTTTTGTCTGAAGCTGTGTCAATATCACTTTGCGTCATCAGAGTTCTCTAAGCGTCGTTTAAGGTCATCCTACACACATTCCGGTGATGCCATAAAGTCACGTGATATTTCAGATGTACCGTACCTTGTAAATCTGATAGTGTTACTGGGACCAGGGTTGATATCCGTGCTCGCCACGTCCATATCGCAATCCCAACGCAGAAGTGAGCGGTCTAGTTTTGTGACTAAATCACCATCAAATTGTACCAATAATATAAGCTTTACAAACTAGCACGTCTGGTCTAATGACCTCAAAATTATGGAAATTAGAAAGACATTCATACCAGAGAGTACGTAAGTCCCAAACATTTCAAGTCAGTTTAAGTGTACCAGGTTTTTAATCGTAGTATGTTTGTGTTTTTAAAGTATGGCTAAATCTCAGCATCAACTCCAATGGCTGAAGGGATGGTGTAAATCCAGCTAGGGTCCATGCAGGTGGCAAAAGTAATTTAAGTCCCCATGGGCCTTAGTATGGTGATCTACCTTCAGTTGTTGGCGATCTATAACCCGTATTTTATATTGTATTGTCTTCTTTAATTGGAATATTTTAACTTTGCGCTAGTTTTATATTTATAACTGTGATTCTCTAGTCTTTTTACTGTCCATCGTAGACAGGTTTTAATCTTCAAAATGTTTCTACTTTTTATTGTATAGCTTGTTTTCGTCACGATATGGCTGCAATATTGCCGATGTGACGTTAAATATTTACTCACTCACTCACTCATACCAGAGAATAATAAGTCTCTATCGAAACAAACTCTATTGGGAGTTGTGTTGATGAAAATTATATGAATAGAAAATTGAAAGGAAGTGTATGTACGCAATCATGTCATCTAAACAAGGAAACGTCTGTCCTGTTCTACAGTTCAAGGTGTCATCGGCCTCACAGTTTGCGTATAAATATTCCAACACTAGAGTTTTTAACAGTGGTACGTGCTGAAGGTGGCCTACATGCCACTCACTCCGCTATTAGCTGAACACTCGCCCTCTGCTGCACGCAGCCTGTAGGCCTTACCTTTCTTCAAGCACATAACACTTAAATAAAAATCTCATATATGTCCCATGATGCATCACTGACGGGGTTAAGGTTCACAGCGAGAAGCTCGCAACTGACCACGCCCACGGACGGAGACCTTGCGTTGAAGGCGTTGCAAGAAGCCTTTCTGAGACACATGTTGGCACAGTCGAGTTTCCCGATGTTTTCATGACCGGCGATGATGTAGTCAGGCTCTCTGGCTCCTGTGCTCTGACGACTGAACACGACAGATGACTCTGAAGTATATTCAAATGTAAGTGACAGAAGGAATACGTCATATATATAATGTGCAATTAAAAATAACATGTAAATATTATAGACTCTTCAGAATGTTTTCATTGTTTATAGTATGAATTGTTTTCGTCACTATATTGCTGAGATATTGCCGGTGTGACGTTAAATATTAACTCACTCACTGTAAATATTATTGCGTTATGCGTTTAAAATTGTTAAAAATGAAAGACTGCCCACGCGAATTGCGATTATTACCTTCCCACACACGCTCGCGAACACGCACGCACGCACGCATGCACACAAACATACAAACTTTTACATTAGCTCTGTTATGTTGGCTTCAAATATTATAAGTTGTTCACTGGTCACGAGGGGGGCATGGGTTGATGTACCCTCGATGTTTGTTTTATGTTCCCTCGCCCTTTGGGCTCAGGGAACATAAACAAACATCGAGGGTACATCAACCCATGGACCCCGAGGGACCAGTGAATAACATGTTATCTTACCGAACACCTTAATGTTACTTTTGAATTGTTCGAAGTACGGGTACAAATCTTTTTGTAGCCATCGCTAGATTTTGCTGACAAGAAAAACAGATTTTGAGTTATCTCCCTGCCATCGATTTGCATTCGCAAAACATCGGTAATTTCCGTACATCATACGTGATTCAATGTTATTCGAGATAAAGAATTACTACCACTAAGTACCAAATGAGTTGCCATTGACAGCGGGGTACATTGAAATGTTACTCGCTTGTAAGCGGGGTACATTGAAAATAATAGAAGAGCGCTCAGCCAATCAGAAAGCGACATTTATGTGTGAGGTAAGATAATGATATTTTGACGTAGGTTCCATGATACCAGGACCAATTGTCTTAACCATTATACTGTCACTTCAGGATTGATTGTTATATGGTTCAAGTTTAGTAACGCTAGAATACCGAATTTGCTTTGTCAAGTACAAGTGAAGACAATTGTCCATTCGTTTGGATTTCCTTACCGCTGCATGTGTTGTGCAAAGATGTTCCCCTCACCACAACTTCGCACAACGTTAAAGGCTTATTTCCGGGATTGTATTTGACGATTCTGACGTAACGTCCAATAGCGTTGACGGCACAGATCACGTCTACCGTCATACCGCTGCCTACTGTGCCTTCATGCCAGTAACAGAGATGGAGGTCGGAGTTGTCGTTGGTCATCGGGTCAGTCGTGTGGACCTCAACTGTGAAGTTGGTTAATCTGTCGGCTGGATGGAATAAGAAGTGATATTAACTTAGTGTAAAATAGTCCAGTCAGAATACCAAAACACCTTAAACAAATTGCAACAAAAAGTATTTTTATCAAAAGACATTTAGTTGACACCACATTATAACATATCAAAAGTTCAAAATAATTTTTTTGAGAGCCCCCCAAAATTACGAAGGTCATACATTTGCCGCATTCAATATATGACCTTGCTGGGAAACTGTAGCCCAGTTGAACGTAAATAACATGTCAGGACGGCACTTGGCACTGATCATACAGGTAGATATATTTTCTATGTTCAATGAAAATGAAGTTATTTCTATTCATAAAATGTATACAATCCTTCATAGGTCCGTGCAATGCAAAAACAGTGATCAAATTTGACATAATTCTTTGATCATTGTTAGTTTGTGAGCAGGCGTAACAGAAGCCTGTGGAATAAAGATTCACAAATCAGTAGATTTTAGATATATTATGTGTGAGATACATATTATAATATATAATATAATGTTAAACATGATAGACTTTTAATTTCTTATCTTTTTCAATTTGTATAAATGATTTATTTCTGTGAAGCGGAGTTCTGCTTGAATTCTAAATCTATGGAAACGCGTGTCCGCCATAATTAAATAAAATCGATTTTGAAGGAATATACCAAGTTTTTCGCATTTAATGGCTCTAAAGACGCAAAATTATTTCCCTCTTTCCTTTTAGAGTTATTTTTGGTGTGTACAAGACATAAAATACTTATATCTATACTTCTATACTTAAAATACTATTATATCTGAATAGATTTATTTTAAAAAATGAAAATAATCGTAGCTCTGTATCATATTTTTAATTTTAGGGAAACAAATGGATTGCCTTGTTCTCTGCAGCCAGAGTATTGATGATAGAAAGCCCACTGTTAAACTTCGTCAGAAAGTATCAACAAGGCAAGCAGAAGTCGTAGCACTGACATAGAAACTGAAGGACAGACTGTTCATCAAGAATGTAGACGCGTCTATGTCAACCCGAACAACATAGCAGCCTCCAGGAGGAAGTCAACAGACAACACTGACATAAGAACCCAGAAACGCGAACTTCGTTCAGTGGACAGCAAGTTTGATTTTCAGACTGACTGTTTATTTTGCGGCCAAGTGGGAAGTAAGAAGCAAATGATGCACATGGTCCACATTCGCACTGACACCAAGTTCCAAGATACCATTAGAAGCGTCTGTTACAGAAGAAATGATGACTGGGGTATGGTTGTGCTGTCAAGACTTGAGTATGGGAGAGACTGTTGTGCAGTGGATGCTGTGTATCACAATGTAGGCAGTGTTAACTTTCGGATCTTCAAGCAAATTCCCATGTCAATAACTGACGACAACCCAACATCTGCAAAACGTCCCCGTGTCGGCAGACCTGAGGACACATCAAAGTCCCAAGCCTTCCATCATGTAACAGAATACATTGAAGCTTATAACAGCGAGCAAATAACAGTCTGTGACCTGATTGAGGAAATGAAGAAACATCTGAAAGACGAATCACCATACAGTGTCCCATACATGAAGCGGAGGTTGATTGAACAATTTTGGTGACAGGGTTATCATCGCTGATACTTCAAGAGTTTTACCATTTCCCTAGTAGACTAGTCAAATTTCTAAGAAATGTGGATTTTAAGGATGCATGAGGCATTTTTGAGTAAAAGCAAGCAAACAACATTTTCTGGGGTAGTTTTTCGTGCTGAATACGAATCTGTTGTTTGCTAAGCTCAAAAATGCCTAATTAGGTCACAAATTGGGTTCAAAGGTCAATGAGTGCAAAATTTAAATTTTTTAAAAAGTGTTTTATTTATCATTCTCCATCCATACAATGAACTCAGTTTACAATATATTGATTAATAATGGTACCACAGGATTTCAAAATGATTGATTTCATGAAAATGCTGAAGGAAAAATTTCGTATTTTTTGCAAATATCTCCCTTATGGAGCGACTTTTAGTTTTTGCGTGAAGAGCTACTTGTTACAAGCATTTTTGCTCAATGTGCAAAGCAAGGCTGAATCTTTTCCTTTTGTTGACAGAATTATATTCCAGGCAAACTGTTTAGATCACAAAATTTGCATATTAAGCGCATAATTACTTCAAAGGTTAATGAGTGTGACAGGATGCGATAGGCATTTTTACATGTATGCCACACGAATGCTTTTATACTGCTTCACATGCATGTCAAATGAAACTGCTTTCATTCATGCAGTGAGTTGGATTAATGATTTTAGCAACATAATTACCCACAGAACAGTTCAGGAAATCACAGGAACAGGTGGGAACCCTATCCGAAAAGGTGTCAAATACATAGTATGAAGATGAAGGCGAAAGTGGAAAATATATGCATACAAGCCATGTTATGTGCTATGACTGAAGGATCGAGGCTGTACTAAAAGACTTTGCTATCACATGTTTGGTTTTAGGAATCTTTGTGCCAGAGGATTTTGTTAGTTGACGACACTACTTGTACTTTTTTATACAAAAGGTGCAGTGTGTGTGTGTACCAGTAGAGGTCATCAGTGGCGGTATATACGTAGCACTGGTGTAAATTTGTTTCTATTCACAGGCCAAGGTTTATCATTTGAGCTTTGTATTATATGTCAGGAAACCAGTCAGTCTAAAAATACGCTCTACAACCAGACAGAACTGGGCATCTCATCCATCTTTGAGGCCACCCAGCTCAGGCACAAATTGAAACATTGCAAAGTTCGGTCATCTGTAGACAGGCTTTCGTTCCTCTTTGAAGAACCTCCTGACGGCAACCCTAATCTAAAATGGCACAAACTCTGTTATTCAGCATACACACATTAGGGAAAAATAAATGTAAGGCTTGCCAAGGAACAGTCTAATGCTTCACAAGGAAATGAGCAGACTGGTCTTTCAGATGAAGGATACCGCTTTTTTTTACGCAGGGGTACTTCAACAGTGGATTTGTACACAAATGCAAAATATGTACACAAGGCCTTTGTACGTGTTGTAGACGTGAATGATTTAATAACAGCCGAAGCATGCTATCATATTGACTGTCTAAGTAAATTTCTGTGGGATGCCAAAAGGGCAGAAACTGACAGCAAATGAGCTGATAAAGCCATGGCTTGGTTGTTTCAGGAGTGACGTCACTCTGCAGAGAATGGACACGAATTTAAATTGTCTGCTGTGTTCATGAGGTACAAAGAATTAGCCAGTGACTCTATCATCCTATCATTTGATAAAGGGAACAAGTTCATTGTGGACTCTTGTCCCAGGTGCACGTTGCTCTGAGACTCCACAGTGATATCATGTCACATGTTGTGACATGAGTGAAGAAGCAGAGTAGGCCAGTGTACATGCTTCTGAACATCTTACTTGGTGGCCAAAGTCATGTTTATAATGAGTTTGAAGAAGGTGAAATAGGCGCATCTGATGTTGAACGGGTTATGAACACAAGGGTTAGAAGTACAGGGCACTTCGCACCAAGGTACCAAGTCCATCTTGCTTGATGTTCTCACGAAAAGTGTGTCCTGCCCCCAAGAAAAAAGAAAAAGAAAATCTCCCAAAGACCAAGTTCCTTGAAAACACTACCCCAGTTTGTGGATCTAGTGCTTGGAGAACCCGGGTGTAACTGATGATGTGCCAAGCATTCTATATGGTATAGCTCAACTAGTTTTCTTGACTGTTCATGTTGATTGGTGAAGGGTCATACCCATATCAACATGTTTAGGTGGTGCTTCCTTGTCCCCGCAAACACTGTAGACCATGTCTTGCCCCATACTACGAACACCTGTGTTCTGAATCCGTTCAACATCAGATACACGCCTATTTCACGTTCTTCAGAAGGAGGTACACTGGCCAACTCTACTTCTTCACTGACGTCACAACATTTGAATCCCGGATCTGACATATCACTGCAGAGTCTCAGAGCAACGTGCTCCAGTGACAAGAACAACAAATTCATAAGTGACCCCAATGCACTTTGATAAAGGTCCCTTGAAGTCCCCTGTCTACTGAAATATGATGGTGGGATGATAGAGTCTGACTCACTGGCTAATTCTTTGTACCTAATGAACACAGCAGACAATTCAAATATGTGTCCATTTTCTGCACGGTGACATAACTCCTGACACAACCAAGCCATGGCCATATCAGCTCATTTGCTGTCATTTTCTGCCCTTTTGGCATCCCACAGAAATTAACTTAGATGTGATAGCATGATTCGGCTGCTATTAAATCATTTACGTCTATAATACGTTCAAAGACCTTGTGTACATATTTTGCATTTGTGCACACTTTAGAATGTATAATTATGTTAGAAACATGGCTCGTCTTCTGCTTGCTTTCGGAGCTGTGACAGAAAATACACAACGTCAAGTTCACTGTTGAAGTACCCCTGCGTAAAAAGCGGTATCCTTCATCTGAAAGACCCGTCTGCTCATTTCCTTGTGAAGCATTGGACTGTTCCTTGGCAAGCCTTACATTTATTTTTCCCTAATGTGTGTATGCTGAATAACAGAGTTTGTGCCATTTTAGATTAGGGTTGCCGTCAGGAGGTTCTTCAAAGAGGAACGAAAGCCTGTCTACAGATGACCGAACTTTGCAATGTTTCAATTTGTGTCTGAGCTGGGTGGCCTCAAAGATGGATGAGATGCCCAGTTCTGTCTGGTTGTAGAGCGTATTTTTAGACTGACTGGTTTCCTGACATATAATACAAAGCTCAAATGATAAACCTTGGCCTGTGAATAGAAACAAACTTACACCAGTGCTAGGTATATACCGCCACTGATGACCTCTCTTGGTACACACACACTGCACCTTTTGTATAAAAAAGTACAAGTAGTGTCGTCAACTAACAAAATCCTCTGGCACAAAGATTCCTAAAACCAAACATGTGATAGCAAAGTCTTTTAGTACAGCCTCGATCCTTCAGTCATAGCACATAACATGGCTTGTATGCATATATTTTCCACTTTCGCCTTCATCTTCATACTATGTATTTG